ATGGGTGTCACACTTGGACATCATGTATATGAAAGATAGTCTTCCCCATAACGTGTTGCTGTTGATGTGGTATCTTCTCCTTCTGTGTCCCTCAGCCGTGGCTGCGCAATTCAAAACTCAACTGAAGAACCAGGAGGTGACCGAAAGTGGAACTGCCACTCTGCATTGCGAGTTGACCAAAGCTGTAGATTTGGTCACGTGGATGAAGGATGAAAAAGTACTGAAACCAAGTGAGAAGTACCGAATGAGGTTAGAAGGACGCTTTGCTGAGCTGTCCATCCAAGATCTGGAGGTCTCAGATGCTGGAAGTTACACTTGCATGTGTGGGGATCAGAAGACCAAAGCAACTTTGAAAGTGAATGGTAATAAGCCTTTGCAACTGATCTTCTTTGGCTTTCTTGGTTGCTCCTGGTAGCTAGGTTCTTTCATCAATCACCTGAAATGCAATCACTTTTAATGTAGCTTCATAAGCAGGATCTTCTCCGAAGTTTCATAAACCTTGTTTTAGTTTTCTTGATTCCCCACCCCCACCCCTCGGTATGTTTCAAATGTCGCAAGAGTTTTATCCATTGAGATCTAATTCATTCAGCAATTTGATCCTGTCTTTCTCCATGTCACGTCCTTTCAGCACTGCCCGTGTTTTTCCAAGAAGAACTAAAAAACAAGGAAGGGATTGAAGGGGAATCTACCACTTTCCAATGTAAGCTGAATAAAGCAGCAACTGTGGAATGGTACAAGGGATCTAGGCTGCTAAAACCAGATGGAAAATTCCAATTAAAACAGGAAGGTCCTTGTGTTGAACTGGTGATCCAAAGCTTGGATGTCATTGATTCTGGAGATTATACTTGCAAATGTGGAGCCCAGAAGACTACAGCTAAATTGACCATAAATGGTAAAAAAATATACATGTCACCCTTAAGTCACTGTATCTTAAAATCTTATGTTTTCTAGTGTTCTCCAATGAAGCTCAGTACCACAGCTTATCTTTATGCAGCTAACTTGCTTCTTCTTCTTAAACCAATCTTTGAGTAGTCATCATCAATCTTGGAGTCTCATAAACAGTGTCTTGTCTTTAAAAACTTACAATTTCCAAAGGAAGAGGTCACAACACCTTTTCCTCAACATTCCTTTGGGACATCAAAAAGTTTGTAGGAGCTACAGTGAGAAGACCTTCTTTAAACTTGCCCTGGAAATCAGCTGCAACAGAGCAATTCAGAATGCAGAATAACAGAGTTTGAGGGGACCTTGAAGGTTATCTAGTCCAACCCCCTGCTCAGGCAGGAAACCCTATACCATTTCAAAGAAATGGCTGTCCAGTCTCTTCTTGAAATCCTCCAGTGATGGAGCACCCACAACTTCTGGAAGCAAGATGTTCCACTGATTAATTGTTCTAACTGTCAGGAAATTTCTCCTGAGTTTTAGATTGGTTCTCTCTTTGATAATCTTGCATCTAATACTTCTTGTCTGACTAGCAGATGCCTTGGAGAATAGGTTGACCTCATTTTCCTTGTGGCAACCTCTTAGATATTGGAAGATTGCTATCATGTTGTCCTTTCACTAGACTAGCCATACCCAATTCCTGCAACTGTTTTAGCCTCCAGTCTCCTAGTCATCTTTGATGCTTTTCTCTGCACTTTTTCTAGAGTCTCAACATTTTTTTAAATATTGTGGTGACCAAAACTGGATATAATACTCCAAGTGTGGTCCTAATAAGACATTATAAAGTGTTTTTAACACTTCATATGATCTTGATTCTATCAATTCAAACAATACAACAGATGAATAATGAATAATGTTCTATTAATCCCTGTTAATGGCATTAATAGTTTCAAAGTGTTAAACTCTTTGAGCAATAGATGTCCTAGTAGACTACCACTTAAACACGAGCCAGCCATGTGCTGCAGCTGCCAAAAAAAATTAACAGTCCTCAGTTGTATTAATAGAAGAATAGAACCAAGATTACGTGGAGTGTTAACTCCACTTTATAATGTCTTGGTAAGACCACAATATTTCCATCCATTTTGGTTACTACGATGTAAAAAAGATGTTGAGACTCTGAAAAGAGTACAGAAAAGAGCAATGATGATTAGGGGTTTAGAGGCTAAAACATATGAAGAATGGTTGCAGGAATTGGACATGTCTAGTTTAATGAATGTCTAGAGCCAGAAACGACTAGCACATATGTGCGAGGGGAACCTTTACCTTTTTACCGTAGTTTAATGAAAAGAAAGATTAGCAGTGGCATGATAGCATCTTCCAATATTTGAGGGGCTGCCACAAAGAAGAGGGAGTCAAAACTATTCTCCAAAGCACCAAAAGGCAGGACAAGGAGTAACAGATAGAAACTTGTCAAGGAGAGATCCAACCTGGAACTAAGGAGAAATTTCCTGACAGTGAGAACAATTAATCAGTGGAATGGTTTAATTCCAAAATTGTGATTATTCCATCATTTGAGATTTTCAAGAGGAGATTGGACAGCCATTTGTTCAGAATGGTATTATTGAGCTAGATGACCACCAAAACCCCTCCCAACTCTATGATTCTATATTTATGTTCTAAATGAGCATAAAACTGTTGAACTGAAATTAGGGGTGCTGCAATTAATGGCATCCTCTCTGTGCAGTCCATTTGAAACTGGAGGCAAATGTCTACCTATTTTTTTTAAAGAATCAGATGTCATTTATATAACTACAAAACTAGCCCTATCACAGTGGTCTAATCTAGTGTTTCCCAACCTTGGCAATTTTTTAAGTGTGTAGATTTCAGGTCCTAGAATTCTCATCAACACTCCTGCCAGCTGTGGAATTCTGGGAGTTGAAGTCTACACCGCTGGAAATTACCAAGGTTGGGGAAGCCTGATCTAATCCAACCATCAGCCCCCATTCTCCTTAATTCATTCTATGCATTGGGATCCATAGTATCTCTGGTACAGGTAGACCTCAATTTACAACCATTCATTTAGTATCCAAAGTTACAAGACCCTGAAAAAAGTGACTAAAGATAATTTTTCACACTTACGACCACGGTCACATGATCAAAATTTGGACTGACAGATATTTATGATAGTTTCAGTGTCCCGGACTCATGCAATCCCCTTTTGTGATCTTCTGAAAACCAAAGTCAACAGGGAAGCCAGATTCACATAACAACTGTGGCAAGAAAGGTCATCAAATGGGGCAAAACTCACTGAACAACTCAGCACAGAAATTTTGCGCTGAAGTATTGTCGTAAATTGAGGACTACCTGTATTCTCAAGACCAATACACCTTCCATTGTCTCCTGCAATTTTTGCATCAAATGATAAAGTCAAGCCACACTTGCAAGAATTCCAGATTACAAATTCTATAAATTGGAGATTAAAATGGTAATTTCCAAGCTTCTGTAGTCTGACAAGATGGGAATCATCAGGGATCAGAAAGACCTCATACAATAATCCATTAAGGTATATGATTAGGTTGAATTATGCATTGTGATTAATTAACCCAAATGTTTGCTAAGGAAGGAGTTGTTGGTGCTCCCAACTAACCCTGATGGACTTCTTCATTCTTCAGCCCTGCCGGTCCTCTTCATCAAATCCTTGAAAGATGAAGAAGCTATGGAAGGCAAAGTTGCCACTTTCCAGTGTGAGCTGAACAAAATCTCTGCCCCCATAGAGTGGAAGAAAGGACACAAGATCCTTAAGTCAGGAAGCAAATATAAAATGAAACACGAAGGAAAAATTGCTGAACTGGTGATCCAGAACTTGGAAGTAACAGATTCTGGAATCTATGCTTGTATATCTGGAGAACAGCAAACCACAGCAACTTTAGAAGTCAAGGGTAAACTTTTATCTCTCCATATATATATTTATTCTGTTGGTTCCTTTGATCTCCTGGTCTTTCTCAGTCTTTTAGTTTCTCCTGAAGTCCTGATCTTTGTGCCAGACTATATATGCTGACAGTGACAATCTTTCATCAACTATCTTAGAGAATCACCCAGCTTAGGTAGATATCAGCAGAGCTTATCCATCAATCACATTTTAATCTTTTAATTTAAAAAAGCCATCTTTCTTATTTCTGAAGATATCCAAACATTTAAGATTCTTCTTGTTAAGAGCTGAGATTGTCATATTGTTCATAAGAACTTCCCTCAATTTACGGCCTTCAAAGGGCTTCAGCTATGGATGAGGAAGACATATATGTATGTATATATGTATGTATGTACGTACGTATGTATGTATGTATGTATGTATGTATGTATGTATGTATGTTAGTTATTCAGCTTTGTTCGGGTATTTTCCCACGTCGTTGTAGTTGTGCTTTTAAAGTTGTAGCAACGTTTCGGCAGAATCTCATCTGCTTCTGTATTGTGTTCGTCTGCGAGTCAGACTGTTACAGTGGTTTCAGTTTTAAATTTGGGGCTAGCCAGAATGGTTTTTTTTTCTTCATCCTGATTGGTTGGGAGTCTTGTTCTGTGTTTATTGGTGTTGGTGTTTGCTGTGTTCTGCTTTATATATATATATATATATATATATATATATATATATTTGTTTTCTTAAGTTTTCGCGGGTACTTACATGTATGGTATTCAGCTTTGTTCGGGTATTTTCCCACGTCATTATAGTTATGCTTTTAAAGTTGTAGCAATGTTTCGGCAGAATCTCATCTGCCATCATTAGGCTTCTGTATTGTGTTCGTCTTTAAAAGCACAACTACAATGACGTGAGAAAATACCCAAACACAGAATCTTTCTTGGGTAAACTTGGAATGTCCAAAATGTCCATATGCTTTAAATATCACACCATTATTTGTCTTCTCAGTGTGTCTCTGAATAGCATCCTCCTAGACAATAATTTTACAAAAATGTCTAGTGTACCGTGTTCTCCCAATCCATAAGTTCTTGTTTTGCTGCCTTTGAGTGGTAGGACTTCCATGCTTGTATGATGTTCTGTGGTTTCCATCTCTTTGTCCTTCATGCTTACCTTTCAACTCTGTCCTTGTTGCCACCTTCTCAGCTCTGCCCGTTCTTTTCAAAGAAGGGCTGAAGAACCGGGAAGCTGTTGAAGATGCCACCACTACTCTCCATTGTGAGATGTCTAAAGCTGGGGCTGAGGTCCAGTGGAAGAAAGGATCACAAACTCTTAAGCCAAGTGATAAATACAGAATGAGGCAGGAGGGTCCTGTTGCCGAGTTGTTGATTCGAGATCTGAAGGTGGTAGACACGGGAGATTACTCCTGTGTGTGTGGAGATCAGAAGACCACAGCCGTCCTGACTGTTCATGGTAATCAGTTGTTCCATAGTCTGTTGTATTAATCATCTTGTGTGATTTGCATTGTGATGTCTTTTTTTTTTTTTTGTAAATTTTATTTGAGTTTTCACAAAAAGAAAAAAAAATACAAATAAAACATCTTTTTTGAAAGTAGCGTAATCCCGGGTTACATTTCTTCGTACAGACACAAATTCAAGTTCATGCTCATTTTTATATTCTATTCCATATCTTATTACTATTTTACATTTTCTGCATAGCTTCTCCCCTCTTTTAATTTTCTCAATTTTATTTTAATTATCTCATCTCAATTCAAATCATTATATTTGTATTTTTTGTCTGTTCTGTTTCAATTATCTATTATCTTTTCTCATTAAACAAAATTTCTCCTGTAGTTACTGATTGGAGTATGACGCCTTTATATCTTTTAAGTTTATCCATTTAACTCTTATTTAGGCTTCAATATATACCCTAAAGTTATAACATTCAATATAATACATAACTTCCATTCGGATTCTGCTTGGTACATTCTTAAAATACACACTATATTCTTAAAAAAAGAAAAAATTATAAATGTTTGTAATTAAAATAACACATTCCATTCCAATTCAATTCTATCATTAATATTAATATTCATTAAAGTCTTAACTTCTTTAACATTATTTTTCAATTAAATATCATACTTCTATGGGAACAATTATAAGCTTTCCATAATTAATTCCCCCCCTCTTCACTTATATTTTATAAAACATTAACTAATTAAAATGTTCCCGTTCCTTCCTAATTCAATTTTCTCATTTATTTTATTTCACTTATTTTATTAACAAACATTTCACTAAATTACACTAACTATTTTATCCCTCATTTTAATCATACATTGTTTCCAATTTTCTAAAGTTATTTCTATTACTAATATAACAATACAATCTTATGTACTTTTACAGAATCCCTTTTTCAGTTAGATTTTCACCCATTATCTCTAAATAGGTCCTGTTTCTCTATATCTTGCTCCGGTCCTTTGTAACTTCTTTTCCTTTCCTTCTTCCCTCTCTTCTTCTCTCTCCCCTTTTTACCCCCTTGTCTCTCTACCTCTATTTCTCTCTTCTGTATTCCCCTTTTCTGTTGCTTTCCAGTATTATACTTATTTTTTGAATTATTTTTCTTTTCTTTGGTTGTTTTTTTAAATCTTAAATTCTCCATTCTCTTTCCCCCCCCTTTCCTTTTTCTTCCCCACATAAAATTACTTGTTCATTAAAGATGGCTTCTTCTTTGTCCCAGTCTTCTTGTTTTGCAGACGTTTCTTGTTGTTTCTCATAGTTCCAAATCTCCATTTCTAAGAATTGAAAAACGAAGCCAAAGGAACTTCTCCCTTCTTGTGCATCTTCTTTGTACTTTTTAAGTTCCATTTTCAATTCATCCAGAAGTGGTGCCATTGTATAAATTTTTAAACAATCACCCGATTAATTTTAGTCATTCAAATGCAATAACCAAGAATCCAAAGATCACCAAATAATCCAAATACACGCAAGCTGTTTCTTTTTGCTCTTTTTTTCCCACTTTCTCTTCCTGGGGTTACAATTTAGTTACAAAGTTCCAGTTAAAATATATCTTTTAGAAGTCTTGTTGAAGTTTTACTGTAGATTCTTTTTAATTCCAGGCAGTCTCCTCCCTCTTCCAGATCCTGCCCTTTTATTCTTTTTCTCTCCCTTCCTGCTTATGAAAAAAAAATTTTTTAGTGTCCAGAAATCTTTATTATCCCTTTGGCATTTTATTTTATTTTCAGCTTAATTGCCTATTGATGTCAAAGCGGATTTTTCCAATTTCTTATTTAAGTCTCTTAGTTGTCAATATAGGGAAAGGGAGAGAAGAAGAAAAACCCAAACCTTTCCCTTTTCATTTTCCTTCGCTGCTTCCAACTCTTCTTTGGGAACGATGTTATTTTTTGTAAGTTTAAATTCCAGGGTACCTTAGTTGTTGCTTTTGCAATTTAACCCGGTCAGCCAAAACTTTCACTTCTTATCTTCCTTCTGCACATTCTTTTCCGGTCGAGTTCTTCTTTGAGGTGGCCATTTCTGACCACCGCTGCAACCACCTTCGGGAAAGGGAGTAATGGCCAGCTGAGGAGGAGAGATGCGGCTCTCCTCAACCCTGCTGGCGGTCTCCCCCCTCTTCACCACTTCTACGGGGTGGCTTAGCCCCGAAACCAGCCAGCTCGGGGCGTTCCAGCGGCAAGCCCAGACCGAAACCGCGCATGATCACGGATTTCTGTCTGTCGTCGAAGAGACTTCAAATTGGAAGCGCATTGTGATGTCTTGATGTCTTGTCTCCATGTTGGTCACTTGGTCAAGTAACCCTGTTTGTGTCCAAAGTTAACAAGAGTGTCACACTTTGGCTGATTGTGGTTACAATTATTTTGGTAATGTTAGTCCTTATCGGGATTTGAGCTGTCTGGAGACCCTCAGATGGTCCTTAAGCTTTGCCCCATGATGTTCTCCAACATGAGGTTCTCCACTTGATGTTCTCCAGAAGAGCTTACAGTCCCAAAATTCCCAGGCAAGATTTGGTCCCATGACATCTGGACCATCTTACGTACTTAACAACTTCTTCAGACTCTGTGTTCTTGGTTTGATGATGGGTATTTACTTTGCGAAGAGAAGACTCCATATCCATGTTGGAAATCCTAACTACACAATACTTTCAGGTTCCGAAGGCAGATTTTTACAGGTTGAAAGTATCTCCCACAACGTTGGCCTTTGAAAAAAGCTCAAGCCAGGAGATAGCTTTTATCTTTTCACGTGCCACAAAATTTTTTCTTTCTTACAATTTCCTAAGGTTATGCTACCATTCCTCCTCTCTTAATATCTTCTGCAAACCTTCATTAAGATATTTCTCTCTAGACAAAATCTTCTTGATTGTGCAAAATTCCAGTGTGATCTCTTTTCTCCTTGTCTCACATAACAATATGCAGTCTTTGCTAATAGTTATCACAACATGCTAAAATTTCTTGATTGTGCAAATCTGTGCGTTCCCACAGAGAATTTTTGTGCTTTTTTGACACAGGGACATATTAATTTCTGGTGGCAAATATACATAATAATAATATTCCTTCCTGCTCCTATTTTCTCCACAACAACAACCTGTGAGATGGGCAGAGAGAGAGGGAGGGAGGGAAAGAGAATGGTGGGGGAACTGGCCCAAAGTCACTTAGTCGGCTTTCATACCTAAGACGGAACTAGAACTCACCATCTCTTGATGATTTGACCCAAAGTCATCCAGTCAGCTTTCGTGCCTAAGAGAGAACTAGAACTCACAATCTCCTGCTGATTGGCTGAAACTCATGCACTTGGCTTTCATGCCAAAGACGGAACTAAAACTCACCATCTCCTGATGATTGGGCTAAAATCAGCTAGTTGGCTTTCATGCCTAAGGCTGGACTAGAATTTGCCATGTCTTGGTTTCTAGCCCAACACCTTAATCACTACACCTTACTGGCTCTCATATTAATGTCTTCTGAATCAAAACAGGTTTCATAGAATTATTATATCAGAAGTAAGACATATCTTGCAGTGAAATATATATTCTTTTTTTTAATTTACCACCTCTCAAAAATATGTTGATTTTTCAGTTCTAAAGACATTCTAACATTAGCTCACAGTATATAACAAGGTTTTATTCTTTTCTAGTTTCTATTGGGCAGACCATATCATTAGCACATTCATTTCTGATCACTGCATTTTAAGAAGGATGTTGACATTTTAGAAATGCATATTTATTTATTTATTGATTAGTTTTATATCCCACCTTCTTTCTATTTGGAGAATTTCAGAATGATCTTTGTGGCTAAAGGAGGATATGAAGATTGGCTCTCCTAATACAATATTAACCCTATACCTTCTTCTCCAACATTCCGAGACTAAACACTGAAAAATATTGTATAACATTGGAAATTCCATGTAAAACTTTCAATTTAGCCCAGAATTTGAGCCAATTCCCAAGGATATTTTGCATCGCATCTCTACATTTGTTCCTTTAAATATATTTTAATCCATTTCTTTATTTTCCTTCCTAAAGGTATCCATGCAACTTTCTTTTATTCCTTTTTAATTCTATTTTATCAGCTGTTTTTTGCCTTCTTTTATCTTCTTTCTTCTTAAAGATTTTTTTTCCCATGAGACCCATTGAAATGCTATTTTTATTTCCCATTCTGGAAGTATTTTATTTATTTCTCTTCCTAAACTTCTGATTTTTGAATTGTTTTTGTACTATTGTTGCTTGCAGTTATATATCTATTTCTAGACCCAATCAGTGTGCTAGTTCCAACTGAGTTATTTGTTCAGAGAAAAATGCCTACGTCTTTCCTGTCTGCTTTATAAAGACCCACTTTGTAAAAAACATTTGGTAAGGCAGCAAAAAATGTGAATTCTGCTAACTAATTGTTTCTTTTATTTTTTATTTTTATTTTTCTTATATGTATCCATGTATTCATAACTATGTTTTTAGTTATACCTATTATCTTGTAAGCAATTGACAAATAAAAATAAATAAATAAATAAAAACTGGAGGAATAATGTTTTAGGAAAAAAATGTGGTTTTTTTCATCTAAAATGTTTGATGGAACCCAAATGGTATAGAAAAGCAGAACATGGCTATTGTATTTTACGGTATACATTTGCAGGTTCAAATTTATTTTGATCTTTAAATAAGAAAGTAACATCTCAGCTGAAAATGCGCTCTTATGAATTATTTATTTATTTATTTATTTATTTATTTATTTATTTATTTATTTATTTATTTATTTATTTATTTATGATTTATTCATCCATCCATCCAATATCTGTATAGGTGCAATCATTCCTTCCTGTTTATCCTTTCTTCCTCTCCATTTATCTATCCTTCCTTCCTCCCTCCCTCCCTCCAGAAGTGATTTTCAGCAGGTTTTGACCAGTTCTGGAGAACCAGTAGTGGAAATTTTGAGTAGTTCGGAGAACCGGCAAATCCCACCTCTGACGGGAGATTTAACAGTATCCTTCCCCTGCCACGCCCACCAAGCCACACCCACAGAACCCGTAGTAAAAAAATTTGAATCCCACCACTGCCTCCCTTCCTCCCCCTTCCTTCATTACTTCAGTTTAAAAATATGATTAAAACATTACAATCATTCTAAAACTATAATAGCAATAAAAACAATGTTGATTTTTAGCATGCAACAGGACAACCAGCTTCAAATTGGAAATTGCATTTGTACAATGATGTTATCATTATTAATTTTACACCATGACATCATGCAAATAGCAGTGGTGATGTCATGCATTATGCAAATTGTGTCACAATCCCAGCTGGCTCCACCCTTCAGATGCTCATGGTTGAGTTCTTTTCATGTTGCATTCTTGAAAAAGCTCCCTTGCTGGAAATCTCAAAATTCTGAAATTTAAAACAATCTATACTCTGTTGGTATCATGCTCCACAGCTCTACCTCTGCGTTTCCAAGAAGAACTCAAAAGCCAAGAGGTCTTGGAAGGAAGAACGGCCATTCTGCGCTGTGCCTTAAATAAAACTGCCATGGTGGATTGGAGAAAAGATGCACAGATGCTCCAACCAGGTGCAAAATACAAAATCAAACAGAAAGAAAATGTTGCAGAACTTACAATCCAGGATGTGACTGAAGAGGATGCGGGAGAATATTCCTGTATTTGTGAAGATCAGACCACATCAGCCTCTGTCACTGTGCAGGGTAAATATATGACACCTCTCTCTCTTTTTTCCCCTCTCTGATTAAAAGTAGGTATTGGTGATATTCTTTGAGAATATCTGTAGCTTAGGGATGAATTGTGTGATCTTTGGTGCTCACTGAACTGGGTTGTTTTATTGCAGTTGTTTCGTGACAACTAGGGAACGTCATCGGTGCTAGGAGGGAGTGTAGGGTTTATGCAGAGTAGGAGGAAGGGGAGGAGGAGAACTGTGGGGTTCTTGGTGCTCTTTGAGCTTAGTGGTTTCTTGCAAATGTTTCATGACCCAAGAGAATGCCATCAGTGCTAGAAGGGAGGGGGGTATGCAGGGGGGAGGGGGGGAAGGAGGAAGACTGTGAAGTTCTTAATGCTCTCTGAGCTTGATGGTTTTCTTGAAGATGTTCCATGACACAGCTAGGTAACATCATCAGTGCTAGTGATGAGTGATAAGTGATCAGTGCTGGGGCTTATGATATTACCTAGTTTGGTCATGAAACGTCTGCAAGAAAACCACCAAGCCCCAAAAAGCACCAAGGACCCTATAATCTTTGGTATCTCTTTAGAGCTTTAGGCCACTTTTGGAAACAATCCACAATTTGAGCAGGTTCATTTTTTTCACCAGCTTCTATATCTATTGTTTTCTGTTACAACCTGAGCTCCCATTCTTTTAATTTGCAGTTGGAATCTTAGAGTTATAAGAGAGCCATTAAGATTATCTAGTCCAGCTTCCCCACTGGGGAATTCTGGGAGCTCAAGTTCATTCATCTTAAACTCTCCAAGGTTGAGAAACGCTGATCTAGACCATTTAATTGTACCATTTTACCAGAAAAGCAGGAAAATTTATGTCTGCTGTTGGAGTGTGGATTAGGAGAGTACAGATAGTCCTTAACTTATAATCATTTGTTTAGTGACCATTCAAAGTTACAACAGCACTGAAAATTGACCTATGACCATTTTCCACATTTACAATAATTACAGCATCCCAACAATCACGTGATCAAAATCAAAATGCTTGGCAACTGGTTCACATTTATGACGGTTTTAAGTCTCAGGATCATGTGATTGCTTTTTGAGACCATGTAACAATTGGGGAAGCCAGATTCACTTAGCAACCATGTGACTAGCTCAACAAGTGCAGCAAGAAAGGTCATCAAATGGGGCAGAACTCACTTAGCATCTGTCCTGCTTAGCAATGGAAGTTTTGGGCCTTCATTGTGACCATATGTCGAGGACTACCTGCAAGTGATTCCATACATCACCCTTAAGAGGAATCTCATGGATTTATTCTAGCTGTGAGGATGAATGACCTCAAATGTCCTATTTACTCCCTCCAGTGTTACCTCCAGGTTTCAAAGTCAACCTGAAGAACCTTGAAGCTGCTGAAGATGGCGCTGCCATTCTTCGGTGCGAGCTGACCAAAACTCCTGCCCTTGTGAAGTGGTGGAAGGGCAGTGAGGCTCTGAAGCCCAGTGACAAATATGAAATGAAACTGGAAGGTGTGGTTGCTGAATTGGTGGTCCACCACTTGCAAATGGCCGATACTGGGGATTACAGTTGCACCATTGGCGATTCGAAGACTTCAGCTTTCTTAAGGGTGAATGGTACATAAAACATTTTGTTTCCTGTAGTCAAATCCAATAGATGGAAAGGGAGGAGGACATCTGAGTTTCTCTGGGTCATCTTAGATGTAAGAAAGAAGTCAAAAGTTCTTTACTGCCCTTGGGGGCTGAGTAAGATCGATAAAAGAGAATGTTTGTAGTGCGGGGTTGAACTATGTAATTCTTGGTGCTTTCTGAGCTTTGTGGTTTTCTTGCAAACATCTCATGACCCAACTTAGTAATGTCATCAGTGCTAGAAGGGTTGGGTTTGCAGAGAGGAGGACGAGGGAGGGAGGGAGGGAGAAGGAAAAGGAGAACTTCTAAGCAAATTCCTTCTAGGTAACATCACTAGTGCTAGAAGAGAATGGAGCTTGCTGAGAGGAGGAGGAGGAGGAAGAGGAAGGGGGAGAAGGAGAAGAAGAACAGTAGGGTCCTTGGTGCTGTCTGAACTTGGTAGTTTTCTTGCAAACATTTTATGCCCTAACTACAGTATGTCACGTCACCAGTTCAGGAAGGGAGTGGGGTTTGCTAGACCCACTCCCTTCTAGTTCTGATGATGTTACTTAGTCAGGTCATGAAACATCTGCAACAAACCCAACAAGCTCAGAGAGCACGAAGGACTCCGCAGCTAAGAAATATGCTTATATTTCACAGTATACACTATACAGTATAAAGTACAAATAATATTCATTCATTTGCTATAGATCCTCCTATAGACAATGGTGAAGGAATTTGCTTAGAAGTTCCAGACAATCATTGTGTCTGATGCAATTTTACAATCTGGAGCTGATGGGGACACAAGTTTTTGGAAACTAAGAGTGCCTTTGATTAATGTTTCTCGTTCTTTAAAATAATACAACAGGCTCTTTAAAATAATACAACAGGCTCTTTTTGATGAATATGAATTCTGATAAAAAACTGGTTCAAACCTGTTAAAGACAAGGATTGTACAAAGATTTCAACTCTAGTAACCTGCCAACAGATCATGCCTCATTATAGGTAGTTCTTGACTTACAACCATTCATTTAATGACCATTCAATGTCACTGAAAAAATGAGTTACGACTGTTTTTCACTTATAACTGTTGCAGCATCCCTGTGGTCACATGATCAAAATTCAGACACTTGGCAACTGATATTTATGATGGTTGCCATGTCCTGGGATCATCTTTTGGGACTTCTGACAAGCAAAGTCAATTGGGCTAGATTCACTGAACAACTGTGTTACTAACTTAACAACTATAGTGATTCCCTTAAGAACTTTGGCAAGAACAGTTGTAAAATGTAAAATGCATTTTCAACTACCTGCTTAGTAACATAAATTTTGGGTTCAACTGGGGTCGCAAGTTAACAACTACATATATAAAGTGATTCTTTTATGCATGAGGCACCTCTCCTTACTTATGGGTAAATAAAAAGATATTAAATTATCTTGCTGCTTCAAATCAAGATGGAATAAAAGAATACGGGTAGTCCTCGACTTACAATCTCAACTGAGCCCAAAATTTCTGTTATTAAATGAGGCATTTGTAAAGTGAGATTTGCTCCATTTTACGACCTTTCTTGCCACAATTTGTAAGCGAATCACTGCAGTTGTTAAGTTAGTCATGCGGTTATTAAGTGAATCTGGCTTCCCTATTGAATTTATTTGTCAGAAGTTCACAAAAAGTGATCGCATGACCCTGGGGCACATCACGGGTCATAAATATATGTCAGTTGCCAAGCGTCTGAATTTTGTTCACAAGACCATGGGGATGTTTCAACATTCATGTGTGTGGAAGTCAGCCATAAGTCACTTTTTTAGGCGCTGTTGTAACTTTAAATGATCATTGAATGAACTGTAAGTCAAGGACTACTGTTACACATTTGGAAGGGACCTTGCAGGTCTTCTAGATGAAGACACTTCAAGCTAATGGATCTTGCTGTTGAGTTTGGAAGAAAAGGGGGAGAATGATCCATGGGGCCTACAAATGGATCCTTTTCTTCAACATCTGGGTATTCACCTGCTTTCTTCCTTCTGAACTCCTCCAGCCATCCCTGCAAGGTTCAAGAAAGGTCTGGAAGACCAAGAAGCTACAGAAGGTGGAACTATTGCTCTCCAGTGTGAGCTGACAAAAACGGCTACGGTGGAATGGAAAAAGAAACACAAGGCACTGCGTGCAAATGACAAATACAGCCTGAAGCAGGAAGGCCCTGTGGTAGAGTGTGTGATCCATAACCTTGGTCTTGGAGATGCTGGAGAATACTCCTGTGTCTGTGGTGATCAGAAAACCACTGCGGATCTGGCAGTCCGCGGTAAATCAATTTATCTCGAGTTCTGCATTTGGCAAATCTGTGGGGTTTTTGCCTTGTTTGTTGATGTCTTGTGGTTTGTCTATCAAAGTTGGAAGGAAGGAAGGAAGGAAGGAAGGAAGGAAGGAAGGAAGGAAGGA